AACATACGCTAGCCTACCCACACTTTTTTGCACACACATTTAGATTCTATGAACAGGACACATGGTTTCGAGATACTTTCTAGAGTAAGGCTAGCATGTAGCTAGTTTTGTCATATTTCTAGCTATTGTTTGTTAGTTTGTTGTGTTTACTGAGAATGAGATATGTGCATTAGTATATTAGAAGCAATTTTCTTTCAGGGTGCCATGTCCAATAGGGAGGGACTGCTATGATTTCATATAACATAGTTTTTTTCAGACTTTCAAATGTTGTTTAGCTCCCTACCACAAAGCATGACTCACTACGTTGCATGTAGATAACATTTATGCTAACCTAATTTTCATGCAAGCCGAGTCTTTTTTAAACTTTTTCTATGTACTTTTTAGAGTCCCCTAGGCTCTAGTATGTGTTAGAAATAAGGTACGAGTATGAATTCTGAGGCGCCTGACAGGCGGAACCACGTGAAGAGGACTAAGAGCAACTTATTTGTATAACATACCTTAATTCTAAATCTTATTTGATGTATAAGATTAATACCAGCTGTGTATATGTTGTGTCTGGTCACCTTGTTTTCTGGGATATGGATGGCCCAGTGGCATCCAAGCTTTTATTCATTATATCTAGCTTTCCCTTAGATTCTTGCTGTGTGCCTGCCATTTTTTCATTCTTGATTGTGATTTTTTTGAGCTCAACATGAATGCAATTTAGACTCTCTAATGATCTAAAACTATAAATTTTCTATAAAGGCATAATAAAATATTGAGATTAATTAAAATTTAGGTTTAAATTTTCAACTTTTCAAAATATGCTTTTAATTTCTTGCATGTTACTTAGGCTAGATTTAAACCAGTTTGAATAACATGGGCATAACCCAAGTCATAATATTAGGGCCACCACATTAGGACTTGTTAGCTAACTGTATCATTCTTGCATGTTCCAAAAAGAAGTCCTCGTGTTTCTTCAACCCGCCTGATCAAGTTTAAGATTTCTACTTATGTGGTTGTCTAGCATGCTTAGGGTGTTAGAGACTTCCGTGACCCAAATTGGGTATAAGTCCTTTGTGAGAGCATCTCGACCTTGTAGTTGTATCTCTCTTTTCTTTTCACTCCAGCATCTTCCTTATCACTTTAGTATGTGTAAGTCCCGCCTCTACTTTCTACCTATAAGGATCATAGGATTTAGAGTTTCTTTCTATTGACCTTAGGGCAATCGAGGTTCCCTTGGATGACGCAATTCATGAATTACTGACAAGAGGGTCTTTTGTCTGAAAAATTATTTCGTGCGGACAACACATGTAGAGATGCATGTGGTGTCCGATCTCCACCATTTATCACGGGTTTGGTGGGATCCACTTTCAATTTTTTTTTAAAACAAAAAAAAATCCCACCAAATCTGTGATGGACGGTGGAGATCGGACACCACATGCATTTCTGCATGCGGTGTCCGCATGGAATAATTTTTCCTTTGGCCGGGTTCAATTGACTACCTTCTTGACCAGATAGACTTCAATAGCTTAGGATCACATATCCATGATTTCCTAACCCAACTATCTCTACCCAATTAGGATTCCTTTCCCTTCCCTTACTACCAAACTTCGAGCCATGTTTTTTGTTGATGCTTCATCGATGTCATCTCTTTGGCCCCAATTACGGACAAGCCACCACCCATTTAGGATATGGTGATTCACCTTCTACCTTTATGACACGATTAGGCCTGAAAGTATAATGTAGACCTTATGACAAGCCTGATTATTTCATTGGCTCTGGTCATCAACGAGCCGTTATCCAATTGGGATCATGGGAAACCTGTTCTCTTCCCTTATGGTTTAGCGTGAGCTTAGAAGGCATTGAAATGATCTTATGAGATAACCATCCTTTAACACACCATTTACTATTCATCACTCGTATGTAAGCATGATTCCTTTAATCGAGAGTATTCTTGGGCATCCTCTAAGATGTAAATAATCAAATGGATATGTCCCTTTGGGAGTTACTCTTGACCCTGTAACCAAAATTTCTTTTTGATTTTCTGATTATGGATTTCTTATGTAAGGATTATTTTCATGATAACATGTTTATAAATATTTTGATCTGGTCTTGTTTTGGACTTACAATCTTGACTTATCGTATGAAGTTTACCTTACATAAGTTCTTTGTGTTCTTTTTTTAAATTTGTTTGCAGTTTTCATCTCAGGTTTCCTATTATTTGATCCCTTATCTTCCCTGAATCTTTCTAATGATTCAAGTAAGAGGGCTCTTTGAAAAGGGAATCCTAAGATGATAATTAAGCAGGCCGGTGACTCCGAGTTTACATATAAAACCAAAACAACAACGCTTAATCTCAACTAATCTATTATTGCCTTAATCTTTGTAAGATCTATAGAAAGTTTGTTCTCGAAGTCAAAATTTAGACTTAAAAAATTTGTCATAAAGTTTGTTCTCTCGAGGAATATTCAATGTTGCTCTGAGATGTTGGGTCTGCTCCTCTTCATTCTTGGAGTAGATCGAAACATCATCAATAAAGATAATGACAAATTGGAATTGATCTAAGAAGAGCTTGAAATCATTAAATCTATAAAGGAAATAGGGGCTTTAGTCAAAATAAACAACATAACAAGAAATTCATAGTGTCCATATCAAGATCAAAAAGCATTTTTTGAAACGTTTTCATTTTGGATCTTCAAGTGATGGTAGATTGCGAAGAAATCATTTAGACAAGGCAATAAGTATTTTTTCTTCACAACCACCTTATTCAACTCTCTGTAGTCGATGCACAACCACATGCTTCCATCGTTCTTCTTCATGAACATAAATAATGCTCCCTAAGGTGAAACATTATCCCTAAGGTGAAACATTTGGGTTAGATGAATCTTTTATCAAAAAATTCCCACAAATGGATCTTAAGCTCTTCAATTTCTAGTGTGGCCATCCAAAATAATGCTTTAGAAATTGGAGTACTCATCGAAAGTATGTCTATGGTGAACTCGATCTCATGATTCAGTGGTAAGCTAGCTAAGTCCAACTAAGTCTTCATGAAATACATCAGCAAATTCTCAAACTATTGGGACATTGTCTAAACTAGCACTTGATTTCTCGGAATCTACCACACAAACTAGATTGCCAACACACCCATGGAAGATCAACTTATAAGCCTTAATTGCCAAAATTAGACAATAAATAGCTCCTCTACTACTCTTGAAGCAAATAGGAGCTAAGTCTGGTTTACAGAAGTTCACCCATTTCTATCGATAATTTATAATTATCGGGGATGTAGATAGCCAGTCTATAACAAACATTACATCGAACTTAGCTAGTGAGAAAATTATAAGTGTATCAGGTTTAAGCATGTTATTGATGGCAGTGTTACAATCACAAACAAATTGGGTAGCGATTATGGGTGAGCCAGATGACATAATGATTGGTAGATGTGATTGTAATAATAAATCAATGTACCAGATGCAATTTTGTTTGATATAAATGAATGAGTTTTCCTAAAGTCAAATAATACCCTTATTAGTTGCTTTAAATATGGATAGTATCTGTCACCACATTAGGAGCTTCACGCTTCTTTCCACATCATAACAAATGATTGCAGTGGAATCGACTGTCTGGGACAGTCTGGAGTTTGAGATCGTTGAGGCTCGTATTGCAGCTTTGATGGGTGTTGATACATCAGTGGTGGTAGTTATAATTGCCAGTACTGCTAGTATTGTGCTGTAGGAGGAGAAGTAGATACGATTGATACGCTACCACTTACTGCGGCTGTTATTGAGGCTAAAATAATTTTTTTTATTAACCCTTTCCGTGATGCTTCTGAAATTGTCTTTCATTTGACATATGCCACTTATTTATGAGATGGGACTTAAAATTATTTTTTTGAGCGTTTGTCACTTGTGGCAGACCTTAAACTTCGAGCTAACAGTCCTTAGCTTTTAAGTGGATACTATAACAATTGAAGCATTTGTCAACCATCACACACAAGCATAGAAATTTTTCACTGGTATAATAGGCATGAAATGTGATATTTAATGCACGTTTGTGATAAGACATCCAATTTCAAAAAAGTAAAATGTAAAGAAAAAAAATATTATAATTGTAGAATTAACTCAATTATGTAGAAATATTGCAACAGATAAGGCATTAGGAGAGGGGGCACGAAGAAGAAAAAAAGAGGCGCGAGGGTCCAAATTAAAAAGGAAACCAAAAAAAAAATGAGGGTGAAATTTGGTCCACTGGATAGGATGAAAAAAAAAATAATAATAAAAAAAAAATGTAAATTTCTACTTGAGAAGGTTCCTGCACATATCAAGTCAAATTTGCTTTCTTGAATATACGCTTCAGAGCTGAAATTCTTATTTATTTATTTTTTCATTTGTCCAGCAGCTTAACTTCTAGTTTCTAATTCCGTAGTCCGCTTGGATGCCCAAACTGCCCATATGCAGTCCCGGATTTAGGTTCAAAATTTCTAGATTTGTCTTTCAGTCCATTTCAATCCGAATAAATATTACGCCCGGACTTCAGATGTAGAGATACATCTACAATCCAATAAAATCACACCATGTAGAGGTGATAAAAAAATTAAAAAATTTATTTTAGCACAAGAGAATATTTTTCCTGTGTTATTTCGTATTATTCAGATGTTTTTGTAGTGATATTCATGCATTATTATATTATGAGAATATTTTCGGTATTGTATTCATGTATTATTGTGTTATGAGAATATTTCCGGTAGTATAATAACACAATAATACATCAATACTATCACAATAACACCTTAACAACGCAAAATAATATGAGATGAATATTTTCTTGTGTTATCAGGTCGAATGACAAAAAAAATTAATTTTATTTTTTTTATCTGCCCTACATAAAAGTGATTCATTGGACTCAGACTTATTTGAGCTCAATAAGAAATTACTAATTTTTAATCTCAAACCCTCCCTCTTTCCTTTAGGAAACTATAAATACCCCCGCCGAAGACTAGAAACTTCGCTCCAAATATCTAGCTTTAGCAGAGAGAGGAACGCATCCAAGCTGTGAGGGAAGAAGGAAGGCTGCAATAATGGCAGCTATCCAAGCAATCAAAGTCGCAGCAATCTGCGGCTCACTTCGCAAGGCCTCCTTCAATCGTGGTCTCATACGAAGCGGTCTCTCCTTTTCTCTTTCTCTGTATCTATCTTTGTACATTCCTTTCTTCCTCATCTTCACTTTTCTTCCTCTTCTTACATCTGTATTGATGAGCAAGTATCTCCGTTAAATATGAAGCAATTGAGCTCTGCAACGAGTCTATTGAAGGGATGCAGATCGAGCACGTCGACATCTCCCCGCTTCCTCTGCTTAACACCGATCTTGAGGTCAACGGCGTTTATCCTCCCGCCGTCGAGTCCTTTCGCAGCAAGATCTTAGCAGCCGACAGCATCCTCTTTGCTTCCCCGGAGAACAATTACTCTTTTTCTGGTAATGATTTTATTTTTATTCCCTTTTAGCGATTCAGTATTTGTCTTGGATTTGTTTATTTGGATTGATTGAGGGATGGATTTTTGGGCGGGTGGTGTTCTAGCGTAAGCAGGGGTAGTCCGCATCGCTTGGCAAGTTATCTGTAGGGTAATTGCTTTATGTGCTATAAAAACTCTTCTATTTCTAGATCGGAGGTGGATTTGCTTTACATTTTGCGTTTGTCTAGGTTCTTAGACGGTAATTATGCTGTGCAATTAGGTTTTCAAAATTGTATACTAGAAAATGATCTGTGCGGATCTCGAGGTAATTTAATAGTCGGTCACATCACTTAAGTCTGCCGCTTAAGCTCTCTCCCTCAGCCACTCACTTCAGTCGGCCGACCAAGCTCTCTCCCTCGACCACCTCACTTTAATCGGCCAGTCAAATTCTCTCCCTTGACCACATTATTTCAGTTCGCCGACCAACTCTCTCCTTCTGCCAGCCGGATAGCCACGTTAAAGCAACCACTATCTTCAGGAAATTCACATATAAACCACTTAGGGTCTGTTTGGGGCAGCTTATAATTGCAGCGGCGTTTTTGAAAATGCTGCCTAACCGTTTGGTTTGAGCAATTTTGAAAGCTCTGTCTGCCGCATTTGAGTTTCTTACACTAAATGCAGGCCGCGGATCGACTCCCGCGCTCGACCCGCGGGTCGTGTTTCAGGATAAGCTGCTTATCCTGAAGCGCACAAGCTCTCCCAAACAGACCCTAAATCAACAGACCTTTACGGTATGTTTGGGGGCATTTGTTGATTATTTATAATCTGTTGTTCTGATAATCTGTAGATTATCAGAATAATATGGCTTTGTGTTTGAAGCAGTTTATTCAGAATAGCTTATTGGTGGTTATGGTGGTATAAATGACATTCCTGCCCCTGTCTGGTAAAACTGTTTGGGGCAGCTTATTCAGAATAGTTTATTGGTAGTACATAAGCATATGGTGCAGAATCATACAATCATCATAGATTAGTTCCAAAAGATGACATACAATTCTCATACTCTCGTGAGTACCTGAATAAATAAAAAAAGGATAAAGACAGGTACAACTACAATGAGAAATATTAAAATATTTAATTTCAAACTCTAGCTACGCCTGTCCTCAGCTTCACTATCAACTTGGGAAAATATCAGATTCTCATGACTGCTAGCAGTGTAATATGTGTGATTGTTAGCCCATCAGAAGAAGCTACAACGAGTTGAAACACCCTTGGCAAAACCGTAGAATTGCCTCTCAAAGCTATAAGACTGACGCGACATGAGCAACGGAGACGGTAGTCCACAATAACACAAAATATCTCTGTTTGTAACTGATATCCTGATAGTCATGTTTGTATAACTGCAAAAAAAAAAAAAAAAGAATGTCAGTACTTATCTCAAAAAAATAAAATACACATAAAAATTGATCTACATATATATGAAGAAAAGAAAGACTTGTTGGATTAGCTGTCATTTATAGCATGTGCTATAAAATCTCTCAGAGCACTCATCTCATCCATACCTCCGCGTCATGAACTACAAATTCATTAAATTCATTCTCATCCTCAGGAGCTGAAGGCCCAATCATGATTTCTAATGGTTTTTCATAGACTGTCAGCTCTTCGTTATCAGCCATACTAAAGTTCGTATCTGAACGTGAAGGGTGTCGCCGTATGAAGTTATGAAGTGTCATTGTTGTCACCACAATATGCATCTACTTATGAAATGAATATGACGACATATCACGTAGGATAACTCATTTCTTCTTCCACACCCCAAACGTTCTTTCAATTACCCCAAGTAAAGAGGAGTGATGTTTGTTAAACATTTCTTTTCTACCACGAATAGTGTCACTTACTCGCTCAAAATTAGGAATATGATACCTAGTGTCTGGATATGGCTTCAGATAACCCCTGTACATTGGGTATCCAACATCAACCAAATAGTATTTTCCTGTTATGGAAGTTATTGTTATTTACAATAAATACCTATAACTTGGAATTTTAAACTTCAAAACTTACTTGAAGGCAAATGAGGAAAACCCTGCGATCTATTTCTCGTAGCATAGGCAAAAATTTGACTATCATGTGCACCCCCTTCCCAGCTCGCCATAACATATGTAAAACACATGTTGAAGTCACATAGCACCATGACATTTTAAGTAGTCGAACCACTTCGACAATTGTAGGCCACCTTGTCCTGATTGTGTATTCGAGCATCAACGTGAGTACTGTCAATTGCATCTATGCAGTTCTGTTTTACAGGGTTAGAAAATATTTATATGTTGTTATGAAAGTAAATAAAAGAATTGTTACCTTAAAGTAAGGCATGTAACGGGGATCGACTGCGATTTGTCCTGGAGTATTAGCAAATGATGGATCCTCTGGCTTGATGATTTTAAAGAATAAGCTAACAAGTGCTTGTATGCCTTTGGAAAAATAACAACTTATTGTCTCCGATGAATGTTGAAATCTCTCCATAGCACCCCTGATTGATTCATTTTGTGACAGAATATATAGCGTTATAGTCAACACCTCCCTTCTCGTCGTTCTCGAAGAACCTTAGAGTCCGTGATTGAGGGATAACTCATGCTAGAGATCCATAAATATCGGTACTACCATTCAAAATATATTACTGAACCTAATAGGATGTCCAGAAAGCATTTCATCAACTCATTTATCCTCAACAAAGCTGAGGTCATTCGGAATATACGAACACTGCTTGATCGGTAATACTCCAACAGTAATATGACAATAGCTGCAGCCCATGCCATTCTCTTACGACGTTCATGTTGTGAATCCATCATAAAGAAAGAAAGATCTCGGTTATTTCATCAATTATTAATCAATATAGCGAGCGAGGAATAAATAATGAGAACACTCAGCTATTAAGAATAAAAAAAATTAGATCTCTACTAATATGCATTAATGGAATCAATTAAAAGTGCATTTTAAAAAAGAAACACAACTCCAAATAACATATGAGTTCATAACTTTGAAGAGTAGATAATACAATTCTTGAAAACACATAAGAACTCAATCATTTAGAATAACAAGTAAATATTCGACTCGCAACTCTAGTTTCATTGCCATAAATATGTGCCTACGTGTTGGATCCTCAAGTTTTTTCATACATATTGCATGAAAGTGCTTATCCGCTACAACTTCAGGGATGGTTTTCAAAGTGTGAAGACAATCGAAGATAGTGCTGTCAGGTATTGGAGCAGGCGGTGATGCTCCAAAAGTATCTATGAGTCTGCAAATGAAGTTTTCACAAAAGTATCATTTTCTTTCTTTCTTCTTCCTAGCCTGAGCCTCTTCATCTGTGAGCTTGATTCCCCCATCTCCCTCTGGTTAACGCTGTGTATTTCTTCTTCAACTGCCATCGACTCTGGTGGAAAATCATCGTGTATTCCTGCAAACCTCGTCTCACAAGGGCTAAATGCAAGCTTTCCCGTTGCCACAACCCCCTTGAACATTATGTCAAGTTTATCTTCAAGATCTGGGTCAATTCCGCTCTGCTTGTATTTTTTTTGCTGTCAGCATTGCCTATAACATTACAATGAGGAGGGGGGTTTAGGGGGATAATTGTTTAAAATGAAAATATTTGTAAGTAACAAAAAAATAATGACAATTTTACCTCTAATTTCTCGGCCCACCATTCATTTGGAGCATCAATTGTCCATTTGATTGGATCCCAGCCCAATCCCGTGGATCCACGTTTCAGCTCCTTCCAAATTTTCCACTCATTTAATTGATCCCATTTTTTTTAAACTTCAGTCTGTCATAATCCATTCCAATCAATTATTTAAAACTTTTAGCTATGTGCTGCCAACCTTTCTTTTTGAAATAGGTGGTTCGCCTATTCCCGATCTCAATCTCGGTGATGTAGAGGTTGCAGAAAATAATTGTAACTTCCTTATCCCACATCGCTGAGGGACCACCTTCACTTGTCTTAAACTTTGTGGTGCTATATGAAAAATTACATATTGTGTAAAGAAATTCATTTTGTAAGTAAACATACATAGGAAAATTATCCAAATGCACCAACAAGAGAAGAAACACAGATATCCTTAAAAAAGTAAACCTACATCCACAAAATGAGCATACATCCACAACAAATCCAACTAAAGTAACATGTAAATCTCACAGAAGAAAAATAAAAAACTTGCTCACAGAAGAAAAATAAAAAAAATAACACAAAAGAATTATGTGGTTCGGTCAAAGACCTATATCCATAGTAAGACATTGAACATGTTTTATTATGAAATTGTGTAAGGTTACATAGTTATGCTTTTCATATACATAACAATGCTTCTCGATAGACATTTTATATTTGATACAAATAGTGTAAAAATAAAGCAATATATACACATCAAATTTGATATAAAACTTTTCATATATGTCGTGGAACCCAATTTGAATGGAAGCAGCTTCCATAGAAGCTCTAAAATATAAGCATTGCATATTTTTATCAGAAATAGTAGGAAATGCCGAAAAATGTCAAAAGACATAAACTTTCACATATGAGCATTGTATCTCCTTTAATAGGAAATGCCAAAATATAATAACCAAATCTTTAAAGACCAATATAACATATTAGCATTGTATCTCCTCTCTAGCCACATCAATAAAACCCATCAACAATGATATATCATCTAACTAAAGAGTGGATCGGTATTTGCACATTCAAACAAATGCCCTAAACCCCATAACTAAGCAACATTCAATATAACAGGTGCAGCTAAACAATTCCAGGTTATAACAGGAGCAACATTCAATATAACAGGTGCAGCTAAACAGGTGCACCTAAACCCCATAATTGAGCAACATTGCAATCAAACACAATATACATGTGTCCAAAAGTTCGAACTAGCTGAGTTCCCACATTTCGAATAGTACAACAGGGACGCATTGAAGCACATTCCAACCGTATAACAGGGACGCATTGAAGCACATTCATTAAAGCACATTCATTAAAGAACA